TCCATTATTTCAGTTCCTTACATCCGCCTCTTTTAGTAGTTGAACTTTAGATTTTTGTTTCACCATGGGAGATTTAAATTGTATGATTTACAGGAAATCGGAGTAGGCTACGTGGAAGTGAGAAGCTAAGCATATTTCAATGATCCTATTTTCTAATGAGTGAAACATTACGCATTGGTTCTCTACTATGAAGTTTCAGGAGCAGTTGAGGGTGCTAATCTTTGATAAATAACAATATATTTGATAATTCACTATGTTATTAGGTGGAATCAGGGATTCGAGCTTTGTGACTATACGACAGTCACCAGCCTAACACCTCTTTGATTAAATCTTTTTCTGTTGAGCGGAAAGTTTAGGGCGTCAGCTTGTCATCATTTGGCTTAATTAAAATTCAGATTACAGAAGGATGATGTTTTTGTGCGGGTGGGAAAACTAGAAAATACATATTGGGCAGGCTTGTTTGATATTAATGTGTTCTTTCTGAGCTTGCCACTTATACAATTGCTATCTAGTAGATTCTTCTAACCTTATGGCTTCTTTTTGAGATGAACTGTATAGTAGTGAGTAGGTTGTTGAAGATGTTAGTTATGGGTGGTCCGCTTTCTTCTCACTTTTACCGTCACATGCAGGTCATGTTTCTGTGAGCTTTGCGGGATATGTTGACTCTAGAAGTCATACAGAAGATACTAATACAGGTAGACTTCTTGATTTACAATATTGGCCATATAAGCAGCGCATATGTCTGAGAAAGTTGGTTATTCTGTGTAGCAAGCACAAAGACTAAGACAAACAAGCCTAACATGAAGAAAGGGAAGAAAGGAAGTCAGAAGCCAAATACTAATACAGGTAAAGATTTATCTAAGAGAATATGTTCAGCAGTTACATTGACTCTTAAAAGTGTAATATCAATGAAATTGTTTTCCTTTTGCAGCAAGCAAAGCTCGTGTAAGAAGTATTAACACAGGTCTGTTAGTTCTTTAACTTGACATTTTTTTTGATAAGGTTGTTCTTTGACTTGACATAACATGTGAACAGTATGTCTTCTGTAAATGCAATCCCAAAAACAGTTGTTTTTATCTGCAGCTGGCACAAAAATTATTATGAAGCTTGATGTCAAAAATGCTCATTGGTTGAGTGAAAGAGTCAGGGAGAGGATCATGCTCATGGTTAGTCATTTTTATCTTTACGTTATGTCCTTGAGGAAATGTTAGGTGAAATTTGGTCGCGCTGTTTTTCTTCATCTTGCCTCAGTAGTTTTGGATTTCCATTCTTTCTCTTTCTAAGTTGACTTCAAGGAGTTCAAGTGGAATTAACTATACCGTTGAATCCTTAAAAAGCAAAACACTAGACTTTGAATACTTAAAAAGCAAATAACTAGACCTTTGAATCCTTAAAAAGCAAATAACTAGACCTTTGAATCCTTAAGAAAACAAAAAAACTAGAGCTCTGAATCTTTATTGTGTACGTGTCGATTGTATGCCACCTGGTTGAATGACGAAGACTTAAATTACATAGTATATTAATTACAATGACCTGTTTGTTTGCCAATTATGTAATCCCCAAATGTCATGTTTGGTTGTACAAGTGTGATTACGTAGTTGGATATTCTTTTATTTTAAATAAAAGCTAACTAAAAAAATTTAAATAAACTTTTTCATATGAACATGTAAATAAATTTTATTGAGTGACAAATATATGTATAAATAAGAAGTATTAAAAAGAATTTGAAAAGTCTTCTGGTAATTACACCATGTAATTACCACATGCCCTCCCCCCACAACCCCATGGGAATTGTAGAGTGTAATCGATCCCCTTCAATTACTCACAATTGCATGCTGACCAAGTAATTACTTGGCTAGACAAACATGCCAAACTGTATAATTACATCCAACTACACCCAAATCCAATTATAAGGTGGGCTTCCAAACATGCCCTTAGTGTAGAAAAACTGTTGCAGACTTAGAATAATTAGATAAAGGTGTTCCCATTTTAAAAGCATAAACTTTTAGATGAAGTGATTACGTAGTTCAACATTGTATCAGAGTAGGTAGAGTTACTGTACTTGAGTCTTACCACTATCTGTTAACTAGTATTGTCATGTGCTTGTCCAATGAAAAGGGTCAGGCTCGCACCTGAGAGAGCATTTGCTGTAGATAAATAAATAAAAAGTATCTCCACTCTAACACTTCTGGCTGGCTGCTATAATGCTAATTGAAACGGTCTTGGTTAGCCACTAGTCAAAAGAATGTGTTAGGTTCTTCCTCCATCATCCAAAGTATCATTCCACATGCTAGTACTAGAGAATATAAAGCATTATAAATGACTTAAACAAGTCATATGTATCCAACTAGAGATGGTTATCACATGCACTATCTCTTGTCTCACTTGATGTAACTATTAGGTAGAGTTACTGTACTTGAGTCTTACCACTATCTGTTAACTAGTATTGTCATGTGCTTGTCCAATGAAAAGGGTCAGGCTCGCACCTGAGAGAGCATTTGCTGTAGATAAATAAATAAAAAGTATCTCCACTCTAACACTTCTGGCTGGCTGCTATAATGCTAATTGAAACGGTCTTGGTTAGCCACTAGTCAAAAGAATGTGTTAGGTTCTTCCTCCATCATCCAAAGTATCATTCCACATGCTAGTACTAGAGAATATAAAGCATTATAAATGACTTAAACAAGTCATATGTATCCAACTAGAGATGGTTCTCACATGCACTATCTCTTGTCTCACTTGATGTAACTATTAAAATCTCTGCTAGTTCTGATATTAGGATGTCAAAAATAAATGAACTGCTTCTATGTTGTGTTTAGTTTCAAAATCAAGCCGTCCCCTTCTTAGCACTTTATTATTAGGAAAATGACTTTCTGATGGCCATGAACAGGAAAAGAGTCGAATCAAGGATGGGGAGCTTGTGCTTACTTCAACTAAGACTAGAAAACAAGAGTTAGAATCTGCTCTCTACTGATTTCAAATTCTTTCTTGCTTTCTTTTGCTTGTCGTTTGCCAAGTAATAATATTATCCTGCTCTATTGTTTTCCAGGAACAATTTTGAAGATGTTGTGGCAAAAAAACAGAAATTGCTGGGGAAATTTCAGGTATTAATGCGTGTATTTTTGCACAAATGTGGTATTTTCTGAGGAAGGAGAAAATATGTCATATAGGAATATCTCTAATTAAGATTTCTCCAAATGGTGCGTCTATTCTATCTATAGAGCCCGTTTGGATGGGCTTGTTGTAAGTGACATTTAAGCCAAAAGCCATAAGTTAGGAATTCTAGCTTTTGGCTTATTTTTGTCATTTTAGCTTAAAAATAAGTGCTTAAAAGCACTTTTGTTACTTTATCCAAACACTATAAAATGGCTTAAAAACTATTTTGGGTTAAAAACACTTAAAATAAGCCAATCCAAACGGGCCCATAATCTAGCTCAGAGAGGTATAACAACGATAAGTATCCAAAGATAAGCACAGTTGGATATAATGATAGTATCACGTATCGGCATTATGAAGCGTAATGTTGTCTTTAATTGGCTTGTGATTCTTGTTGAGCAAACCTAAATAGAAAATATCCACTTTCAATGGGTGATGAAACAGGAAATAATCAATGCTGCTTCATATGCTCCGCTGCCACCTTCTGACGGGCTTGCAAAAAAACTTTCTAAGTTGTAAGAGCTCTAACCATTTTCTTCTCCACAGATTCTGTTTTCATGACTCTTCTGTATCTGTAATCTAGTGCGAAAACACTATTGGTTTCAGGGCTGTCATGGGGAAGGAAAAGAATGCTGCATGAAAAGCAAGTGCATATATAAAAGAAGTTTTAACTGATGATTGATTTGTGATATCAAAAATTTGCTGAACTCTGGCCAATAGTTTCTTCTGCTGTTGATTATTATTGAAAGACGTAACGGAAGAGATCCATGTGCCAGTCCTTAAAAGATCATGAGCTATTGGCTAAAGGCTGGCACAATTTTTCTTTTTATCCACATATGACTAGATGAAAGTTTCACAGAGCTTCTAGCTGTTTTCACTCATATGGTTATTGTTATTTTCGTAGGCTGTAACCACAGATTTCATTTTTTCTAAGAGCATGAACTTCAAGGGCTGTAATAAAAATTAAAGTAAGCTAGCATGTTAAGTTTCAAATCTCCTTTCTTTGGATAACTTTCTCTTTACAAGTACCAGGGTGGATATACTCGTGCAATCTGCAGTTTTGCTACTCTCATTGGTTAACTAATATATCAATGGAGGTTTTAGAATTGGTATGTAGGCTGTCGGGAGCCTTGGAGCAATGATAAAGTTGTTTTTCGCGTGACTTATATGTCACGGGTTCGAGCCGTAATGCTTGTGTCAAGGTAGGTTAGGTTGCCTCTATCACATCCACTTGTAGTGCGGCCCTCGTCCGGAGCCCGTGTGAACATGGGACATTTCGAGCTCTTGGCTGCCTTTCTGTCAGTGTCACCATTTTCATTATTTATGCTTTTATTAGGATGACTTGGTTTCAGCAGTCTTCAATTTTAAATTCTGCCAACTAGTTACTATCCGTGTACGAATTCAGATAGTTCCATTTATTGGTTCGTCCTACTTTGCATGTTGTAAGGAAGGCTTTTGTCGATCGAGAGTTAGCAAGAGTAGATCATATAGTCTTTGTTGATCAACCATCAGAAGCGAGGTTTGGAGCCCTTCAATTACAAAGTGGAAGATGCCTCTTGACAATGGTTGAGCTGTCTATCAGGCTCGCAGAACGTGCTCAATCCGATTCATACTACGATCCCATACAGGTGATTGTTCTCCAATTACTGATCCCATACTACCCCCATAAACATAAAATCAATTGCCATGAGAATGCTGTTTAGTTGGCCTATGCCTATTTGAACAGCCTCGGTAAATCCTGTCTTTCTAATTAGTGGGTTCTATCTCTAGATTTGCAACACGGAAGCGGAAGAATGACCTTAAATACAATTGGGGACTAAAGGTAAGGAATGACTAATATGAGGTCATGTGCAAAGACAAAATTAGTTTTCATAACACATCAATGATCTTCTACTTTCTCTTTGTTACAAATGCTACTTAAAGTTCACACACAATCTCAAACTATTATGATCTATGTACATAACCCAAAAATGCCCCAAAAAGTAAAATTAATAATAAAAAGAAATGAAAGAGAAAGACAAGAAAAAACAAGAACAATTATTTTTGTTAGAAACAAAAAGGCAGCCCGGGTCCGGAGACAATTGCACTGCTGCTCCAAGACTCCTCTTCTTTGTCTGAAACAAAAATAAAGGAATTTCACTTTCGAATCACAAACTCCTCACCAGATTCTCTATCAAACCTTCTAATCCATTTCTTCACCATTTTCTCTCCGGTACCACGCTTCCCTTCGCCGGTGCCGGAGCCGGCCGCCCCCACATGAGCAATATCCAATCCTTTTCCGACCGGCAAAAAAACCGACCGTACAATTCTTGATTTTCCGTCTAGTACACTTTTCCATCTAAAATCCGAAACAATTCTTGAACTCACATTTTTACAAACCAAAACTGCACCCCTATGACTTAATTCAGCCACCTTCAACATTCTTGAGAAATCATTTTTTTCACATTCAACAACCAAAAAATCAATTCCCGTTAACCTCTCCATTGCTTCCTCCGGCTCGCCGACGACAACTTCCGGCGACATTCCGGTGGTTTTCTGCATGGCTGATATGTAATCGGTTTTTGAATTTTCGTCGGGGACTATGCAAATATGTTTGCCGCCTGTGTGTTTGCTGGCGATAGAGAGGCCCATACTGGTTGATGTAATATCGTCTCCACGTCGTGACCATGTCTCTACGATCATTTGTGCATCCCATCCTGCTGCCATTGCTGAGATTAATTCTGCTTCGTTGGATTCTTGAAGTAACTCGCACTGCAAGAAGATTGAGAAAGATAAAAATGAGATGCTCTTACAAAAATGTCATGGCATGTTTAAGATCACAGTTTTCAGGATACTTTTAGTATGCGACAAAAGTTCTTTTTGTGTATAGTTTTACATAATCTATACGTTTGCGTCTATTTCTGGATAAGTTTCATGTATATTTTAAGGGAAATCCGGCACGCTAAACTCCCACTATACGATAGGATCCAGGAGAGAGCCGAATCATATTGGCTTTTACGTAACAACCTTACCTTGCATTTCTGCAAGAGGCAAAATGTAAGAGGCTGTTTCCTCGGCTTAAACTTTTACCGTTGCGCCAAGGCTCTTCTTCGCTTCATATATATTTGTCGAACAAAAATAGAAATGATGATGGACTTACTGATTTGACAGTATCGAGATAAGCTTTAGAGGCTTTTTCAGGAGACCAAACCATCTTCATCTCTCTGTATAATACTTGGAAATTTTCTTTATAAGGGTTGTGTTTTTCTTTGCTGCCAAGTTTCAATGGTGGTGAAATAGATAATTCTTATGTTAGGACAAATTTGTATCGAAGAGTTTTATAGGAGACAGAAAGAAGCTAATTAAATGACTTTCCAAAAAGTAAAGAAGTATGAAAGGGAAAAGGTCAGTTTGACATTAAATCCAGGCAAATCCAACGTGGGAAGATTTGGATTAAAATTTGAAGATATTTGCATCTTTCCTTCTTTTAATATTAATATATGTGCCTCTCTCTTCTCACCCTAAAAAAAAAAAAAAAAGAAATTATCCTAACTCAAAAAGTAGTGACGGTTCATTTCAAATTTTATTCCTCCGTCTTAAATTATCTGTCATGTTTTCTAAAATCTCAAATTATTTATCATTTTAGAAGTTCAAGAGTAAATTAATTCTTTTCTCTTATTCTACTATTAATATTAATTGTTCTCGATGACTAAAAATACTATAATCATGAGTAAGTATTAAATGAAGAGAGATTATATTTCAAGACATAAATAAGAACAAAATAATCAAAAAAAAATATTTTATTTAGTATCTTTTTAAAGAGCGTGTAAAAAGAAAACACAACATATAATTTGATACGGAGGAAGTAGTAATTTAGACCATAGGCTGTCATTATTCATGTAATCCAATTGTTCCTAAAAAGAATCTTGGCTTCCAAATGGCATTGACCTCAGCCATATATTATCTACTCTCTCCACATTGGCCGGTTACTCGGTGAGACTGCCATGTCATGTGTACTTCCTATGACCATATCTTTTTGTATTATCATCTCTCGTTTAAGATATATCTTTTTCTCACATGATGCATGGTAGTTATTTTTGGGCTTGACTAATCGGGGTTCGCGTTAGAAAATTTTACTTGAGAAAGTAAAGATATTATTATAAATGACAATTTCATACTAAGAACTTAAACCTAAAACCTCTGATTAAGGATAAATGAGTACGTATCGTTTCATCACAATTTTCTATGGTTCGAATTTAATAGTTTGATGTGTTTGTATTTGGATATTTCGATTCTCTAATGTTGTAGTAAAAAGCACTTCGGTGCACAAAGTATCTCATGTTCATGCAGAGTTCGAGGAAGGGTACCTGTTTGACCAAAAAGTGCTATGCTTTTTGTTAAACTAATTAATAGGAAAATGATGAGTAAATCCTAGCCAAGGATAATTAACTCTAGATCAAAACACATTGAATAGGAGAATAGGAATTGATCGAAATTTATAAACTTTTCAAAATTGTAAAAGATATCGAACATAAATGATAGGCTTACATTCTTGGCGCACAGTTCCGTAATGTAAGAGTAAAGAAGGAAAAGAGAGAATGCCATTAACAACTACAGGATCTATCTTTCTTGATTCAATAACCACGATTACAAAGATCTACAGTCAAGATCTAAACCTTCTCTTGTTTTTCCTCAGAAGTCCTCTCCGGTTCTTCTTTCTCTTTTCGATGAAGGAAAAAGCCCCATTTCTTATCCTCTTACCTCCTATATATATAGCAAGTATTCCCTTTTGTCCAACGGTCCTTAGCCAGGATACCCTAATCTCATGATTATATTTCAGATCGTTCCCCTTAAGTGTCACGACTTATATTCCGCCACTCAAGCTTCCTGGTAGTTCGATCTCGGCAGCGGCCGGGATACTTGTCATCATGATGCCTTATGGATGCAACCACGGCTTAGTCGGCCCCTCGCCATTCCTTTTAGCGCTAATTCACGCATGGTCAGATTTTGACCCATATAGTTAGTCCCTCCGCTTATTGAGGTCGCCTTTGGACGAGTTCGATGGGCGGACTTCGTCGATCAGAAATCTTATGAGAAATCTGAGCGCCTTGGGCGATGGGCGAATACCTCGTGGCGAGGTAGCGACATGACGTTTCGAGAGTTGTATCAAACCATCACGTCAGTTCAGAATGTCATTAAAGCTCATCATGCGTCATCGTGGCGCACGTTTTCTATGTATGGCATCGTTTCCCGTGCGCTTTCCATTTTCAAAGCGGCGGCGTTTGGCTTTCCCGCTCGGGGCATTTTACATCTCTATAAATAGGAGAGTATCTTTCATTTGAATGCTACGCTTCTTAATTGCTCACGAGAGATTTTTTTAATTTTTCTTCTTCAGCTTCTCATACTTCCGTCTGGTAGGATTTGTTGTAAACATTACCAATTTCCCTCACCATTCTCGTTTCTTTCAACCAAAGAAAAGATGGCTGGTGGAGACTCCAACTCTGATAGAGCCATTGGTGCTCTGGCGCCGAAAAATGTACCCCTAATCGAAGAGGAAGAGGGTCCGGTGGAAGACGAGAGTTTTCCGACGGTAGATGAGGTGGTTCCCCATCCAGGGAAGGCGAGGACTGACTTCAACAGCCTGCCGGAGACGAGCCGAAACCCATTTTTTCTACGATAGACGCCGCGGCGCTCATGGCGTTCAAAGCCAAATGGGGTATCCCTGATCACCTTGAACTGGTTTCGGCGGACTAGGACATAGTGCATATATACCGTCGGGGCTACTGCGCGTTTTATGCGTATCCCTTTGTCATCGGATGCACGCTTCCTCTTCCTTCCCTGGTGGTGGATTTCTGCCGCTTCTATGAGGTGTGTCCGGCTCAACTCTCTCCGTACGCGTACAAGCTTTTCCTTATGCTCATCAAGTACGCGGAGCTAGCTGAACGAGGAATTTCCCTAGAACACATGCTTCACCTCTTCGCCCCCCATTTTATTAGGGGTACGATGATTCACATGCGTCACTGAGGAGCCAAGAGTTTGGTGGTAAAGATGGATGACAAGGCAAATCGCCGCTTTTGGGAGAGATTCTTCTACGTCCGAACAGAGCACGTCGTGTCAAACCCGGTGGGGTTTCCTGAGACGTGGAACTTCGCCCGTAGGTCTTCTTTTCTTTTTACTTCATCCATTTTTTCTTAAGAGGGTTGTCGGTCGTCTCCCTTTAATGACCTCGTTGAGGGTTTGTTTTTGTTTTTGTAGCCGAGAGGGTTCCTCCTCCGCAAGTTGCCGACATTTGGGAATGGGTGAGTGCAATTCTACCCCGCACGATGGGGATCCGCGAATGGGCGTCTTTTCATGAGAGGTTTGGGCGCAAACCTTCCACTGGTGAGTCGGTTTGTTTCAACTTTATCTGCATTATTCTTTTCTTTTTCCTCTTTCTTTATCTTATCTTTATTTGATCCAATTTCTTGTTGGCAGGTCGAAGAGGAGCGAGAAGGGCGAAGGCTTCTCCCCTTGCTTTTCATCAACCGGCTTTCTCCGCTCGGCCCGCACCAAGAGTAACTACGGACGAGGGTGTACCGAGTTTGGTTGCTCGGCGGGCCGCATCTGTGGCCGAAACTGTTCGTTTGGAGGCCGCTCCTCGATCGGAGACTCCGATTCCCGCAGTCCGTTCAACGGGCGAACCTTCTGGCATCGATGGCGGAGAGGCCCCGTCGTAGAGGCGGAGGATAGTGTTGGAGGGGGCTTCCTTAGCTGAAACTCCCTCGAGGGTCGAGCTCATTTTGACGGCACCCGAAACCAGCGGTGACGCCAGCCTGGATGTGGAGGCGATGTCCGTTACGGGCGTTCGAGAGGCTACTATGGCGGAGGGACGGAGTTTCGAGGCTGCCGCTATTGTTCCGAGGGGCCCATCGACGTCTCGGCTGTGCCGTACCCCACCTTCGGCTAGCGAGAGGTTAAAGGGCGTGATGGTGGAGGACTATAAATCCAATTCTGACATTGATCCTAAGGACATGAGGATGTTCGAGGAGGGCTTTACTAGGGTCGATGTAAGGGCGGGGGGCCCTTCTCGCATACTCAAAATTGCGTTGGATTTTAACCTGTTCTAGGGCACAGTGGATTTGGTGCCTCAGTTCGGCCTTCTGTGCTCCATCGCTGAAAGCAGATCTCTTCGGGAGATCAACGATTCTGGTTTGTCACGCGGTGTGGCAGGGATGGCCCTAAGGGTGAGTTCTTTTTTGTTGTTCTCTTTGCTTTGTGCCTTTTGCTTTTACTGATTCTCTTTTTTTTTTTAGACTTACATGCTGGAGATTGAGAGTGCTCGTAAGGATGAGACGCGGGCCGAGGTTTTCCAAAAAATTGCCGAGAAATATTGGCGGTATCGCAACAGGTGCTGTGAGATACACGAGCAGCTTAGGGCAGGTGCTAGTACCCGATCCGTCAAGGAGGAGTTGGAGAAAAGGGACGAAGATCTGATGCGGTCTATTCGCAGATTCAGCGAGCTCGGGGAGTTACTTAATGCCAAGGACGAGGAGCTCGAGGTGGGCAAAGGGGTTGCCGCGGAATGCGAGGACCTTCAGGCGAAAGTGTTGTCTTTGCGTGCCGAGCTTGAGCAGAATGCCACTAGAGTCTCCAACCTAAGAGCAGAGTGTATGGAGAAGGTGGCTGAGCTAGAAACGAAGGTGGCCGAGCTGGAGAGAGTCGAGGGGGCTCGAATGGTGGCTTTGGCGAGGGCGGCGGTGCTGGAAGATACTATCCGCGTCCTCAGGTCTGAGCGGGAAGCCGAGAGGGCGACGGACACACCGAGGGAGGCATGGCTCGAGGAGTGGATCGGTGAACTTGATAGGGATGCTTTGAGCCTAGGAGACCGAGTTACAGCTCTCGAGGTCGAGAAGGCTCAGCTATTGGCCCAGGCCTCCCCTCAAGAATCTGCCTCTGCTGCTGTTCCCCGCTGTTTGTACGAGCTATGGGTCCATGCTGAGGCCCAACGAGATATATACAAGGGTTTGTAGGAGGCGGGGAGCGTCCCTACGGCCGCTTGTGAAGAGGCTCGGGCGAAGGCACGCGAGGCTCGTCTTGCCTGTAGTTATGACCCTGCAACACCGGAGGCCGCTGAGGGTGCTGAGATTGAAGATGAGCTTCCTTCTGATGATGACAATGTTGGAGTGAACGGCGGTGGAGATAGCGCCGAGTGATTATTTTTGCAGCTTCTGTACTTAGTTTTCTTTTGTTCTTTTGTTGCTTTTTGTTTTTATTTTCTTCTTAGAGGCCCACTTTTGGCCTTTTGTAAGGCCCGACTGTTGCGTATGTACATCTTCTGAATAAGACG